TGCTTCTACATACTTCTCAGTGTCCTGTTGGCTAAGCAAAAATCACATTCAGTCAACCTGTTCCTAGCAGTGAATTAACAATGCTACCCAATATCTGACAAAGGGAAAGATTTCCAAAATATTTTAGTATCTGAGGATGCAGAAAGATGGTCAATGGGCTGTCCAAGATTACTCAGAGAGATAGGTGTGCCCAGCCTAACAGACCTGACCTGGGTGCAACTGGACACCAACCTTCCTAGGTGAGGGCAGCAGATTTTTTTTTTTTTTTGCATTTTCCCCCAAATCTGACCTTGGAAACTGCTGTGCTGTGGCAGCTGCACAAGTTCTGTTCACTCTGCACTGGAAATTGAAAAGCAGGCTTTGGAATATAAGGCTACATATCACCAAAGCAGAATAGCTCGTGCCTTGGATGTCTCAAAACCTATTTTCTCTCCATAAGTTACTCCAGCAAGAGAGAGCAAGTCAAACAGTTAATGGTCTGGAATCTGGTGGCAATTAATTAATTTATTTATTCTGCAGCCATAAACAAGAATATGATAACTTTAGCTCTCACTTCAAATAACTCACCTCTTCCTCTTCCTTTTACTCAAAGCACTACTATTGCAGTCCATGTATAAAGATTAATTAAAAAAAACCCCTTCTAGTTTTCAATTAATTTATTGCACAGTCACATCATACCTTCCTCAAAGTTATTTTTTTACTGATCTTCAGTTCTCACTTCAAAGTTCATTTCTTCTCTGACTTTTACTCGGTGTTACTATTAGATCTAATGTACAAAGATTAATTTATTGTTTTGAGTCAACTCCAATTTTTTCCTGGAGACTCAAGAGTCATATGTTTATTACACTAAATTCAGCAATGTCCAGGGCAAAGTTTCTAAAGTGTAGTGAGCAGCTGCACTTCCCAATACTCCTCCTCCCACAGAGTTTATTCCAGACAGATGCACTTGTCTATTTTAAATAAGTGTTTTGAAACTGTAGAGATCTTCCTCTACCACTTGCAAACCAAAACATTGATTAAAGACAGTTTGTGTGCAAATTGAGAGGGAGATTGAGTACAGAATTCAAACATCAGTGATTTTCTGAAAATGGTAATTAATTTGCTTGTGTAACTCCAAAAGCAGTTGAAGGCAGAAGCTGGCTATCATTTAATTTGTGCACTAGCCTTATGTCACACACAAAAATGCATCAAGACTGCAATTTCTGCAGTAAACACATACCACAAATATTGTACCATGTGCCAGCTAGCATTTCCTTTGTTTGCCCTACAGAGGTTTCTTCTAGAGAATAATTTCTCAGCAAATATAGCTAAAAGCCACCACATGAAGACACTGAACTTGTACTAGAGCTCTCTGAAATAAACCAGTTTCAGAAAGCAAAAAGCCTAGTGAGACTGTAAGCAGCTTACGTAGCAATTACACTTAAGAGTAGAAACACATCCCACCTAGAAGACCTGTGCTGATAGATCTCAACACTGAATATATTTTTAATTATTATATTTTTACGAGCTACCTATGAAGACTGTTACCTTATCAGTTTTAATCAGGACGGTAAAATGCTGGAGGGTACACTCCCTCCACTCCTGCTTGGCCTCACTTATCCTGCTTCTTTGGTCACTAGAGGAAAGCAACAGCAGCAGTACAGCTGTACAGTGCTCATCTCCCACTCTTGGCATGCCTCTTTGGATAGCCCTAAGATGAATACTACTCCCCCTATGCCTTACACTGCCTTGAAGTAGTTTATCACAGCATATCTTTACGAAGACAGCCCATAAGGAACTGCACTCCTGAGCAACAGAAATCAATAGCTCCTGATTTGCCTATACAGCTTGGCTTACCTAAAACCAAGCATAAGTCCCTGTAGATTTATGATGATTTAATTTTCATTAAATTAGTGCTTGCTTTACACTGATATGGTTCTGAATTCAAGCAAAACTGACATAGACAAGGGTGAGGTAAATTGGCACACACTTTAATGTCCAAACACAAGAGAGCAAGGGAATGAGACCATTCTTAACAGTATCTCTGGCACCGATGGGTGTGATGGAGGTTTCATGCCTGGACTAGGTGAAGCCCTGAGCAGCCTAGTCCGAGCACAGGGCTGAACTGGCTCTGGGGCAGGGGCTGCAGATGTCCCCAGGTCCCCACCAGTATGAACAGGATCCTTTGTCTCTGTCAGTAGCTGTATCCCACACTCTATCAAGCCTAGCTTTTAACACTGCATTCCTATCACATTGTTTATGAAAAGGTTCTAACACTTTATTGGTCACTCTGTAAATAACTAACGCTAGTATAAAGGCAGAAGAATGCTAACCATGAGTGATCTTATGTATGCTTAAAAATTCATTTTCAAATTCAAAATGTGATTGCTAAGTTTCTGGCTTGGTCAACAAGAATGTCACCAAATGCAAAAAAAAAAAAAAAATTACACAGACTATTTCTGCTGTATAAAGTATATTCCTTGGAGCACATGTATTGGAAACAGTGTATTCTTGTAAATATTTATTTAATTATTTATTAAAAAAACATATGAAGGCTAGGATTTCAACAAATTTCAATTTATGTGGTCGAAAAAAACACTGCTTGCAAAACATTGTGTTGGGTTACTGTTCGGGTTTGTTGGTTTTTTTTAATTCTCCCCATAAATGGGTGAAACAAAGAAGCAACATCAAAAATGGGGAAATAAAACAGAATTTTTAAAATTAACTACGGTTATGAAATGTTAGGAAACCAGCCATCACATTCAGCTGTTTGTTTCCAGTTTTCCCAGACAATATGGTTGAAATGCCTTTATCTCAAATTCATTTTATTGGCTGTACACTATAAATTCTTTGAGAACCTTGTTCAGCAAAAAATAAAAGAGCCGGCTAAGTCACTGCAGTTGATCTTTATGCACCTCATCAACTCATTAGGTAACAGGATCAAAGAGAGTACCCAGAATAAAGTTCATTGATGTTGCAGTACTGCTGTCTTAGAACTGTGGAGAAAATTCACTGAAGCTCCCAGTAATAGTTCTGTGAAGACATTTCGTGACAGCTACACAGCAGGTAGAAAAGGCAAAATATATCACCAAAATAGTAAGAGGGAGTGAATGATCAGATTTTAGAATTATAATATTGTTATTTCTGCTAATGTTTTTGTGGTTAGCACAACAGATTTGCCTTAAACTTGTGAGATACCTGCAAAATAATATAGCACCCAAAAAAGAGAGACAGAGAGAAACATGCCTGCCTTTCTCCATCCTACCCCCAAGGCCTGCTGCCTTCAGAGAGAAGCAGCAGCCCAAAAGTGCCGTGATGAGCAAAGTTTGAGGAGAGAAGTGGTAATTCAGATTCCTGCACCACTTGTGGCAACACTCTGGAGGATGACAATTACCCATGCTGTAAGCATCCAAAGCATAGTGTGGACTCCAGTGGCAGGGAATCTGAAACAACTAAATCACCTCTAAAAATCTGACTGACATTAGGAGCTTATTATAAACTCATCTAGAATTAATTTTTAAGCAGCATTTTAAATACAAAATCGTAGTTAAAGTAGATTTACCTGCATGAAGAGCAGTTAAACTTGAAGATACAAATAAGTCTTTCTTACAATACAACTGCTTCTGAGCAATAACGCTCCTAAAAATGTTTAGACTGGAGAACCCAATAGTTTCTTACACAGATTTTATAAATTCTAGAATTTGAGAATGTAACTGGGAATATTTTGGAAAAAACCTCATGGCAGTTTGTAGACTCTTTTTTTTAAAATTCAAATTGTGAACAAAAAAAGCAGAAATACATAACATTCATACAAAGCCTACCCATTAAATAAAGATGGACATACAGTAGCAGCGTTGCACGGATAACTACAACTGATACAGACAGTAGGTTTGCAGGGATAAAAGAAAGAGGATTACTCTTGTGTAAGAAGATCTGTTCTTTTACATTAAATGGGTCAATTGCTACATATGTGCTGAAGCACCTTCAATACCTAAAGAAAAGCTGATTGTTAAAGTTTACTTACTGTGACAGTAGGAAAAAAGCTCTGTAATACCAGCTGACCATAATTAAGTATCCAACAGACGCCTGGCCTTGTTGTAAATATTAACTCAACTGAAGTTACATGCCAAAATAACATTTTCCCTTAATTACATCTGCAGAAAAAGCTGAATGTAAAAAAGCCTCCTCTCCAGAACAAATTGAGGTACAGGACTGCATGATACAGAAATAATATGCCATAGTCACATAAGAAATCCCACACTGGTGATCAGAAAAACAGTGT